GGCTTCCTCTGCAATGCCCGTTCCTTTGGTTCAGGGCTCACGCATGGCTTTCGGATGGAGGATGTGGCACATATTTGCTCTTGTCTGCTTGCTGACAATTGCTGTTCAGGATTCAATTGGAATCAAGATTCGATTGGAACCAACTATGAGCTGTTGCTATTGGGGCACTCTGCAACACTGAGCATGTTTTGAAGCGCAGTGTCTCTTCCTCCCTGGTTAACCAGTTACTCAGAGACAAAGGCAGGTGACAGCATCGAGGTTGACATGCACTGTCACTATTTGCTTATCTTGACTTGGTAAGCTGCAAAAGTTTCTTGCACTTCTAAACCACTGAGCTGACAGAAGTGGTGACAGGCTGCAGGGAAGAAGGACCTGCCCAAGGACAGATTCTAACCACTGCAAGCCCTTGTGCTTCATTGCACTTTAAAATTTATTGATCCAGCAGACTGGTTGCAGCACTGGCTCACAAGCCAGTTCCAACATGTATGATGTCTTTTCCTGCAGTTACTCTTTGCTCTCTTTAACAATGATTACGTTAGTTTGACCTGACAAACTGTAAAGGCAAGTGACTTCAGTGTCCTTGTTTTGTAGTTGAACTGCACACGAATTGAGGGACCCACTTTACCCACTCCTCAGTAATACAGTAGTACTAGACACAAGGGGTCTGAAAGGTTTGGTTTGGACCATCTGTCCCCTAAGCAATAGAGCAGATACTCTAGGCTCTGTAGGCACTGAGAAATTATCAGACTGATCTGTTCCTGTTTGTCCTCTGGAATTTATTGATGACGTTCTTTGTAGGCAGCGCTAATGCTATATGTTACATGAACCTGGGACACCTGGTTCTCATATTGGAAAATCATTGTGTTCTTGTAATGATGCTCGTAGGGTGGGGAAGCGGCCCTTCACTCTTCAGGTATCAACAACAAGTGGGCAGATTTTGCGGGCAGGTCGCCAGCCAAAAATGGTTTCCAGGCAGATCTAGCATTGCTTCGCTGTTCCAGCATTGGTGATCTCCCAACGTCTCATGCCGGTTTTGCCGACAAACACGCCCCTTTAGAACATTTGCTGTCTAGGCAGCTTGAGCTTGGTTGTTCCTGGATGTTGCCTTATGCTAGAGAAACAGAGATCTGCTTTTATGCCTTTCTGTATGTTTCCTTCCCTTTTTTTCTTTATTCCCAGAGCCATCTCCAGGATGAGGAAAGTCACTCTCATTCAGGTTGCTTCTTTCACACTTTGTTTTGAGTGCCTGGCAGACTTGTGTGGTCTCAGTTCTAGCACCCAAGGCTGTGGGCCGACTAATGAAAATGGATAGCTGATGCTCCTGTTACCAACATGAAAATAACAGAATGCACTGACACAAATGGAAGAGTCATTAGATAAAATTGTTCCAACTTTACGGTCAACCTCTGTGTATATATATATATATAGCTGTGGAACCATGGTATTAAAGTTTAATTGAGGGGATATTACATACCACCCATATTTACTGTTCAAAATGTCTCCCTGCCTCGGACTCTTAATAATGAAGCAACTGAGAGTAACCTTGTGCTTCAAGCCTGACAGATTTGAGCTGTGTAACTTCAATTTTTGTTCCAATCATGTTGTCATAACTGGATCACCTAAAGGTCAAGCTGTCTCCTCAGGGGGTATCAAAATGGATATTATATCTTGCTGGGTTACTAAACCTGCTTGCAAGCATCTCCCATCAAACATGGAAAGCGACTCTAAAATGGCCCAAACAACTTCCATCATCTACTTCAGTTGCATGCTAATATCTGAGGTTACGAGGCACAATGTGTTGGATTTGTGAAAGTTTCAAGCAGCATCCTTTGCTTGACATCATGTTTGGGGCAGATGGTATGTTCAGGAGAGCAGTACTACAGACTGATAAAGCCTAGAGGTCTTTATTCCCTCTTTTTCAAAAGAAACTTGCTCACCATTATCCTGTAGTGGGATCCACAGTGACATGCCAAAAAAGGATGGTTGGTGGCTGCCTAAACAAGCAAATTTTCAAAATAATGTAGATCACATAATCTGTCCTGACATTAGCCCTGACTTTTCAGAGCCCTTAAGAGATTAATCTACAGAGAAACTGTAAAAACTTACGTTTGCTCTGTTTGCTCGAATAGACATGCTTTTGTGTCATAGAAGGGTGGCCTTTGCAGATGTTAAATTCCAGGTTCCTATAAAGAACGTGAAACCCATGCTGAGCTTGCGTTAGAGCTGCTCTTGCTTTCACTAAAATAGTTATTATTTCAAGTCTGGTTTCCCCCAAGTGGAGAGCAATATAAAATTAAACAGGTTTTGGAAATGGACAATGAGCAGCTGAAGGCTTTGGGAAAAGATTTTACGTTAAGAGGATAGGGAAGATTGATATCTTTTATAAGAAGATAGCTAACAGGTAGAGAGTAATGAATGGGTGAGAAGATGGATGGAGACTTCTGTTCCCACCTGCTAATAATATGAAAGTCAGATTAGAAGTTGGTGAATTCACTCCTGATGAAAGGAACTATTTGTTCACAACCACTGTCTATGAAACTCGTTGCTGCAAGACAAAGCATTGGGGGAAGAACTTAGGAACTTAAAAAAAAGAGAAGGGGGTAAAATGATACTAGTTGGAATATCCAAAGAAATTGCAATGATTAGGAGAACCCAGGTGTTTTGAAAAGGCTCTAAGTGTATTGATTAGGGTATTATAAGGGTATGAAGTAACTTGTCCAGATTTTTTTTTTTCTTTTGCCCCTCTCCAGGGCTTTTTCCATAGTCACCTACAGCAGAATGTGGCCGCTGTCATTCAGAGACTGCAAGAGAAGGTGGCGGCTGCTGCTGCAGTCGAATGTGGTAATGCCTCCTTGCGAACCAGCTTTTTTGTGTCAGTTTTCCAGGATTGCTAAATTCACACATAAATTAGGATGCTTTTGCTTTTCTGCTAAGTTACTGCCTTCGATAGTCCTTCGCAACTTGTCTTAGATCTGGAATGACACTTTGCCTTTTGAGTATGTGCTGGGGGAGAGGCAGGTGGTTAAAGTTAGATTCCTTCTGACAGTAGGGATTTAGAAATTGCTGCATTGGCTCAGCCCGGGGATCTGCCTAGTCCAGGGCTCTGGATAGCAACAGCCAAAATCAGATATTTCAAAGGACGTGAGGCCACAGAACACAGTACTAAAACAGAAAGCTGCCCTTTTATATCACTGGTGTTTGTCCATAGAATTGGAAAAGCAAAGGTTGAGAGTTTGTTTGATCCAAGAGCACAAAAGCTGGAAAATCCCGTTGCCTGGCTGATGCTAGTTAACGCTGATGTTTTGTATCCTCCAGGAAATTACTTACGTGCCTGTTTTCTCTTAGGAAAAACAGAGATGTGCTTACCTAAAATGGCAAGTTTATATGGTGGATTTAAGTTGGTGTAAAAATAAGTAATACTTGTATATAGTCTCACAGCCTAATTGTGTAGAGGACACCCACAGTGGGGTTCTCATTTGGGAAACAACCCTGGGCTGGGCTGGGAGGAGGCAGCAGCAGTGGTCACGGAGGGGTTTTGGCATGTGGAAAATGGGTGGGTTTTTTCTGACACTGCTGCAAGCTATCTGGCTGAGGAGGGTCTGTTCTGTTTGGTGGTTTTTTTTCCCTTTCCTTTTTTTTTTATTTTTTTTATTTTTTCCTGCTGTTGCAAATTAGCTTTTGTAAGAATTATATGTGGTTTCTCTCTCTCTTTTCTGAAGTTCTGAAATGATTGTTCGAACTGCTACTAAAAAAGGGATTCAGTGAACTGTCTATGGAAAAAGAGTATTATTCCTTCCCTCGTCAAAAATGTCCCAGTCCCCCCCCGCCCCCGACAGACGAGGACAGCTGCTGATTAAAGAGAAGCATGAAAAAAAGAGGTTGCTGAACTTTCAAAGTGGAGGTAGAAAAGGGAGTTAAATTTAGATTACCTTTTGCAGTGTCATCTCCTACACTGCTGTGGAACTTGCTGTACTCCTTGCTTGGGAGAGGACAAACAAGACATGCCATCCTGGGCACCAGATGATTAATTTGTTTATAAGGCTTTAATTGCCCCTTGGCATGAAAATGTGAAATGAGCTCAAGTAGAATGAGAAACCTTCCATTGGGGCTAGTTGCATTTTCCTTGGGGAGAGGTGGATTAAAATGTCTTCCCATCACCTGTCTGATACTGGAGGGTCTCAATCCTAAATCTACTGAAATCAGGGGAGTTGTTGCTGTTTCTTTAGTGGGATGGCTGTTATCTGGAGGGGCTGAGAATTGAACAGTGCTGTAAGGGTTGCTTAGAAAAAAATGGAGCCATGGTGGTAGGCAGAAGGCAGCGTGGGAGTGCTTTGGATCTGTGAAGGCTTTACCCAGATCCCTGGGCTCTGGAGGTACTCGGAGAAACCATGGTGGCTGCTCCTAGGGCTCCGGTGCTGTTCAGCAAGCAGTATCAAACTTAGCTTTCTGCTCAAAACCAGATGAAATGTCTATTTTTGTGTAGCGAGATTTAATCATCACTGAGGAGCTGTTGGCTCTTACCAAGGTTTTGAATAGATTCCCCTCCGCTTGCAGCATCCAGTTAGCAGGGAGGAGATCAATCACTTCTGCTCCTCCATGCCTCCCTGCCAGAGTCCCGCACAGGCAGCGCTGCCCTGCTCCTTTGCAGCGAGCTGCCTGTGTGGTGTTCCCCAGCGGCTGTCTTAAGGTTCAGGGCTGCCTTTTTTTTTTTTTTGGTTATTTTTTTTCAGAAGTGCCCGACCTGATGTCATTTCCCTCTTGCAAACACCCCGGCTGGGCTGCGTCTGAGATATGTCACGGGGAGTGGGAGGAGGAGGAGGGGGAGCCATCGAGTGCGTGCAGTGTCCCAGGACCCTGTTTACTTAGCATTCCCAGGCGAGGAAGCCCTGGTTTAAATAGGATTGGAGGAACAGGCTGCCCACAGCAGATGAGGAAATGGTCACTGTGGGGCTTTAAATTCCTGCCTTCCCATGCGCTGGTGCGGAGGATGAGCCTGCAGAATGCCTTTCCTCCTGGGTCTCAGACAGGTAACCGGCTTCGGTGCAGTGAGAGCTGCTTGCTCAGGTGGAGGATGTGACGGATTGCTTTTATTTTTATTCCCCCCCTCCCCCCCCGCCTCCCCAAAGAAATGATTTCTGATTTCCCAAAATGGAACCGTACAAACAGCGCTTCCCCACCCATGGCGTTTGATCGAGGAGCATGGTGGTGTGAAAGACGCTTTTTATTAGTGAGGAAGGAGCAAAACTGCAAGCTGGCAAAAGAAACTCTCTTCTTGTTGTAGGCTTTGCGGCAGGGTGACTCTTTGTGTCGTGTTCCCGTGCAGTTCTTGTTTGGTTGAGTTTTTGGGGTGCTTTCCACAGTCCTTAATAGGGAATTGTGTTTACATTGCTTAAAAATATGCCAAACTTTGAACCGTTTTCTTGTGCGGGCAGTATTTTGAGTGTTATACTGTGAGTTTTTAAAAAAAAAAAAAAAGACATGCATATATATCTCATCTCTGACAAAGGTCACCGAACAGAAAATGGCAGTGTGCTGTGATCCCCAGCTTGGTGACTTTTTAATTGTTCGGGGAGAATTTGAGCTTGAACAAGAAACTTGGGATAATTTAATAGCTGGTAATGTCGAGTGGAATGAGAAACGGTAGCAACTGCCCAGCTGCTCCCCGCTGGAGGAGGTGCCAACTATGTGTTCCTAGGCTCAGGGAGAGCAAACCCTTTTTTTGGTCTGGGAGGCACGTCTGTAGGGGAATCTAACTGTAAACTCTTCCCAGCACTGCTAGGATCTGTAATCCACAATAAATAGATATTGCATGATATCAGAGTGCTGCCTGCAGTTTCTAATTTAGAATTAAAAATTCAAGATTGGAGCATAGCATATTTTAAACTACCTACTTTCAGTTGTTTAGAAATGAAGGCAAAAGGGCTTACAGCACACTGCTGAGTGAACAGTGCTGCCTCTTTTTCCTTATCAGTTCAGTTTTTGGTGAAAGGCAGCTCTCACCCCCCACCCCCCACCTTGCTGAACTGAAAACAGTTTTACATGAGAAACTACCTCTAGCACAATGACCTCCTGTAATTGAATGCAGTAGCTGTAATAATAGTTCACTTGTTAGCACTGAGGGCAAAGTGACTTTCCCTAAAAACCTCGGAACTGAACCAAGGAGGCAGATTCAGGCATGAAGGCTGAATGGCTTTAGGTAACTCTCAACTTGCAGTGAGACATAGTTGACTTCAACGTTGAAATTGCTCAAGTCTCATGGGTGTGTTTTTCTCTAAAGTTCCTATTTCTAAATTAATATTTTTGTTTTGAGGTGCTGCATAAGATGTAAAACCAGAAGTTAGGTGTAATTCGGCTTCATTTGCTCAAAATACGAACATCTGGTTCTCTCAGTGGGCTGGATGGTACTTTTTTCTCTGCTTGTAACTTTTCAGCATCAGTACAGAGGCATTTACAGGAAGCAGAAAAAAGGTGTTGCCTCAAGAACACAAGAGCAAAGCTCTTGACTATTTTTATCCACTGATGAAGGATATAGTGGGAAAGAACTGCTTGTGGAGCTGCTTGAACTTGACTTAGTTTTAATCATTTTGAGTTTTAACCATTTTCAGACTTAAAAAAAACCAAACCCCTAAATATTTGTGATTGTGTCCTGCATGCAGATAGTATTCAGAAATTTCTTTTTCCACTTCTAAAAGAGTGGAAAAAAGGGTTGTTAGTGAACAGTGCTATTTAATTAAAAATGTGGGAGGAATTCAGGAACACCTGGTCACTTCTATTGTCTCTTGTGTTTGCACTCAGACTGTAAACTCTTGATTGTCTGGGATGTCCTTTGCTGTTGTTGTTCTCACTCAACACAAGGGGTGCTGATCCTGGGCTGCGCCTCCAGGCACAGGGAAGGGGTGCTGAGTGGGGTGCCCTCCCATGAGCTGCGTGACGTGGACAAAACGGTCGCGATGGGAGCCTTGGCTCCCTGGGACAGACACCCCTTGTTTGCTGCTGCTCTGCACTGAACAACGGGTTCCCCTGGATCTGCCGTCATTTCGTCTTTGGGACCCAGTGGTGGTGTAGCACGGCAGATGGACTACCGAACACGTGGTAAAAATAGGGTATTTGGTTTCGGTGGTTTTTGTTGTTGTTGTTGCAGTGGGGATGATGTTTAAATGCCTAAAAAGCTAGGTCAGCTCTATCTGACATTAGTGCAATGTGGGTGTTTGATGCTCCCATCCCAGGAAACACGATTGTAAAGGATCTCAGCTTTCAGTTTTGAGTGAGGATTTCCTGTTAGAGTTGTAGGTGGAAGCTTGAACACATTCTAGTTCACTGCATAAATGTAAAAGGGAGGAAAAAAAAAAGGTTGGCTTCCTAATCTTTTCAGTTTTAATTTTTACTGCTCAAGGTTTTCAGTGTGATCAGCTGTTTGGTGGTCTAAAACAACAAAATGCAAGACAGCCTCCTCAAAGCTGTAATTTCCTAGAAGTGTCTATCTTTAATGTGAAAGGGCTGGGACTACGGCTGGGAAGCTTCTAGCAAGGCATGAGGAAAGTAAACACTTTCATGTGGCGCTTAAAATGCAAATGTGCAGTTCTTGGAGTCTGAAAGTGAAACTTGCAATAAACAAAAATGAAACGAGCTCTTATTGAAATATACCGAAGTGTCTGCGATCTGTGAAAGGACAGTGTTCCTTTAAAGATTGTTGGAGTATTTCTCCAAGATAAATGGATGTAACAAACCAATTTGTTCCTCAGATAAAGGTTAATAAAAGCTCCGAGGTTCTGCATCCACTGGGGGTGAAGATGGGTATGCTGTGGCTGATTAATCATGGTGATTTAAATATAATTCTCCTGATGCTGGCATTAGCAAAGCAATAAATGTTGTGGATTAGAATTCCCATTTTGGAGATCGTTGTTGTGCCTGGGACAGCTCAGAGGCAGCATTCCTACCCCACTTATTATACTCTAAGTATTTGGATGTTTGCACTTAACACATTTTGGTTTTTTTTCCACATTCAACAAAACAAAATTTGTGGTGGATGTCTTATGAAGAGATGTCCAGACTTGATTTATTTCCTGGCCTCAGTTGTCTGTTGTAAGGCAGGCTTACAGGAATTTTTCCCCTGTTGTGCTGGCAGGAGCTGGCACCTGAGGTTCCAGTAACTTCCAGCAATCAAAGCTGGTTTCATCTTTACCAATCCTACGTGCTTTTGTCCAAAGGCACAGCACTTGCTTAGATGGTGGATTTTTGCTTTTATGTTCCAAAGGACTAACAAGTGTAGTGTTTATGAAGATGGGAGATGACTGGAGGCCAGGTGGGCGTCAGTGCTAAGCTGCCCTGGTGATCCAGGGTTCCCCTGCAGTTCTGCCTGTCCTTGCTGCATTCCCACCTACTGTCCTTGTGGAAAAGATGTAGGGATTTTTAATTCAAGATAAATTTTGATTAGGAACTAGGGAGCAGCTGGCAAACCAGGAATTGTAGTAAACCCTATGGCAAGATTTGGCATTCCAGCCTAGTATTTTCGGTAGAAATTTTAACCTACTACCACTTGAGTCTCTTATCTGACTGAGATGCTGATCTTCTTTGGTATCTTTGTGTTTGCGTTCTCATGAGCTATTGCTGATGGGCTTGGCTAACCAACACTAGTGATAGTCTGATATGTGAGTTTGAGTAAAAGCCAAGTAGTAACTCATAAATAGTGGGTATCAAATACAGTTTTTCCTGTTGATTGTTTCTAACATATTCAAGATACTGACAGTCACTTCCATTGTGTTACTCTGAGTGCTTAAAGAATGTATATGGTTTGAATACTGATTGCGAATTACTCAAAATACATATTTTTAATACATTTTTCTGAAGATTGTGTCACTTGCTTAAATCCATCCTGCTTTCTTGTTATGGGTGCGGCTGGATACTGAAAGCAAGGGACTGCTGCATGCAATGAGATTAGTGAAATAACTAGGTCAGAATTTTTTATTATTATTATTAAATAGATGCTTATTACCAAAGTCCCTATGAAAGCCATGAAACCAGAAGGTCTGGAGCGGTCACAGGTTGAGGCTGAATCCGGTTAAAACCAGTAGCATCTTGCTCCCCAGTGGATGCCGGTTTGGCAGTCTCCCTTCAGCCTGCTGCTGGGCTTTTCACTGTGTCCCACAGTTTGTACTTCTGTTACTCACTTCCTTACTCACCCCTGTCATTCGGTTATTAATCCCCATCCCTTCCGGTTCAAATAGTAATTTGCTACATAGTTCCTTGACAAATGTTGTATCGAAGTTTGGAGAGAATGGGAAATTAGAGTAGGTCTAAAAAACTGGCTATCCTAGAAGACAGGAATGGCATATAACCTGCTGTTAGTAAAGGCAAGTCACATTTCAAAGTTTTTTTTCCAGGATGTCGGGGTATCACCAAAGTTGGGATGAATACATACTCTGACAGGTTGAATGACACATAGAGGCCATATAAATGCAAGGTGCTCATATTTAGGGTACTGGAGGCCGAATTTCTGTGGAAAGAGGAGACAGAGCAAAAAGCTAAAATGGTTATTATATCCCTGTGATATCAGCCACTGCTGGTTTTGGTTACCTGGTTAATGCCAGCTAAGGAGTCATCTTTTGTAGGTGGCTTACTGCCAACTATGCACTTTTGAGCGTGGGCTATGGTGTTTGTTGCTGCAGTTGCACATATTAATTTTCAGCTTGGAAAATAGCCACACTGGTCTGGAATTTGCTCATCTTCATCTTTCTCCTTTTTGACATAGCAACAATGTTCTTAGGTTAATTGCTGACTTCTGAGAGTAGGAAAGTGTGAAGTGCCTTGATCCTTTTATTGTAATGGTACTCCACTGTCAAACAGTTCTCATGTCCCTCCATTTCCCACATTGGCTTCAGATGCAATAAATCCTAACAGATTTACAGGTATTAAACCCAACCATTTAGTACTGAAAACCTTTGCAAAAGTAGGATAAGGAGGTCTGATTCCATCCTTCCTTGCAGTGAGGGGCAGTTCAGGCAACCTACAGATCTCTGTGAATGCCTCCTGTCTTGATCATGCCCCAGATTTTGACCTTTAATTTGTCACGTAGACATCCAGCAAAGGTCCAATACTAAACTAGAAGGTGGAGAAAATAATTGGCTTTTTTCCCTGGCACTGACATTAATGTTTGCTGTAGCTTCAGATGTGACAACATATGGCACTGCCTTGGGTTCTCTTATACCTACCACTGCTGGGTATTTTAAGGATTATTTGTAAAATCACTTGACAGCAAAAGTGTACTACTGGCAGAGTTGCCAGCATGATTGTGGGTTTATCACAAATGCCAAATACCAACGAGAAAATAAGTAAAAAAAAAATAATCTTATTTTTATTTGAAGTTGCTTTATAAAGTTTATGACAAGTGAAAACTAATCCAAAACGCCACATCTAAAATGACAAAGAGACTCTTCAAACACACCAAGATGAGGTCTTCCCAACTCAACCAGTTTCATGAGAAAGAACCTGCGCCAGATTTAACAAATGGCCTCCGTTGGACCGGATGGGGAGAGAACACAGACTCCAGAACTGCAAAACCTTCTCCTGAAAACTACCACCTTTGGAGTGTGTGTCAGGGATCTAGTGATTCCAGTTTCTCAGATCTGCATCAGCTCTCTTAGGATGACGCCAAGGAGGCAGTGATGCACATGCAGCTTAGAGTACGTGCTGCTTTACAGGACAAAATCAATCCCTTGAAATTAGCTGGAAATCTCCTAGGCTTTGCAGGTAGGAGATAACGGATGGCATGTTCAGGCTTCTTAGTTATGAAACAAGAATATTCTGCTCTAATGGAGTTGAACGCTCTTTGAGAGCAGACTCATGTAGATGCTGCTTAGTAATCCTGTCTGGAGGCGTCTACAGTTAGCTGAACAAAGTGTGGTGGGGAGGGATGTGCTTGCCTGGACAATAAGAAAACAAGACTGTCCTTCAGCAGGGAAGCCTGCGCTGGAATGTGATAGCCACTGGCCATGGGGGAAGAAAGTGCTTTCGGGAAGAAACCTTCCCCCTCCCTTGTTTTCATGACTACCTAAAAATCCCCCAAAACCTCTGTAGTAGTTTGTTTAAAAACTCCATGCTGCTAAGAATGATTAAAAATTATCATTACAAGTGCTACTTGCAATGGAAACTAGAAACAAAGGCAGGTCAATAAAATGTTAGTGCTCCAACTTTGCTTCTATGAAATTTCCGCCCCCCTTTTCTTGCTTCTAAAACTACTCTTTCAGCCCTGTCCCTTGTCCGTGCTCCTTGGTGTGAGCAAAGCAAAAAAAAATAGTGTGCTATCATAGCACAGGCACTTGTGATACTGTTTCCAGGAGACATTTAGACTATAGATAATTATATTCCTGATAAGTAGTTATAGTTTGGCAGCATATGACACAGAGTGAATGGGAGAAGGAAGTAGAAATAATACAACACTGATGGTGTGAAAAGTGCAGGCTGGGATTTAATTAGAAATTGAAGCCTGATCAAAGCGCTTGGCAATAGGCAGAAGTTTCCTAACAAAAAATATCACAGTCCCTGTCATGACCTGTACTAATGGCAGTGCATAACCTCTTCCTTGGCTTGCAAAACAGTGCAAGAAAGTGTATGTGGGGTAGCTTTTCATGGAAGTCAGTCTTGAGTGTGGAGTGGAAAGACTGAAACATTCGATCCAAAGGAGATACCTGTAACATGTCCTGGAACAATGCTCTCCTTGTGCTGGGATCTTTGCCTAGTAGACTTTTTCTGAAGATTTGTTGCTTTTACATTTTATGTCTTTCCCTGTGCCAGGTTGAGTAATCTGGCATTGGAGGTAGCCATGCTCTGAGCAGGGGTTGGGCAGTGTGTCCTGCTGGGATCCTTTCCAAACTAAATTATTCCTTGATTCTGTGAAACTGTTTGGAAACAAGGATGACGGTTCTGGGTCTGACAGGTGGCACCGAGTCTGACGGCTCCATGTTCCCAGGAATCCATTGGTTGCTGGGCTGGCAGAGGGCTGCAGAAAGGCTCCAAGAGGAACTGCTTGGACTTTGAGGAACATGGCTGGTGGCCGTCACTGCAAGGACTTTAAAACCCTGGACTTTCTGAACTGTGGGAGCTGAAACCCAACTGCAAGACTATTCAAAGGTACAAGCGCTTACGCATTAGCAAGGAAGATTTCTCTTGGCCAGTGCGTAAAGAAGCTCCGAACAGTAAGATTTGAACTCTGCTTTAGATGGGAAAGTGGAATGTTGCTTGATACTTGATCTCCAAAAGCAAGCAAGAGCAACCAGCAGAATACCAGCCTAGCTGATGAGGATTTCTGTTCAACATGCACACCCATCCCCTCATAGACCTATTTGCCAGCTGGGCTAACAAGAAGCAACCCTGCACATAAGCATATGGCATTGTGGAAAGGTAATTTCAATATAGTAAGGTTGGCAAGAGAGCGTCAGGAAGTTCAAATGAGAGGATAATGTGATGAAAGTCTTTGAAAACAGGACTGCTGCAAGTTCTTAAGTGGGGAAAAATGTAGTAATGTTGAAGCTGTTACAGGTTGCTGCTGCCAAAGTACAACGATGTGTTCTTATTGCTATTCTTTGAAGCAGACAACACTGAACGGAACAAATTTTTGGGGAGTAAACACAGGTGGTCAAAGATGGATCAGTGTTATGATGCAGAGGAGTTCCTGAAATGGCACTGTGGGACTCTGTTCTTTCACCAGCTCCATGTGATTCATTTGCTGGTTCAACAGGTCACATTGATCTTCATATGTCACAACCGCAGACCTCAGCTGGTCGCTTTCTGGCTTATGTGTTACCAACAGGATTGCAATTTTGCAATGAGATCTTAATTTCTCAATTGTGTTGATACAAGAGCCAAAATCTACGCTGTTCGTAAGTTACATTAACTCTGCAAAGCCAACAAAAATGAGGAAAAGTGTAAATAAACTAATAAGAACAGGTAAGAGAATAGATGTGTCCTAGTTCTTTTGCTGACTAAAATTACAATTTTTGGAATGAATAGGGTGCCTGAAGTGGAAAATGTTGTGCTAGCTCAATAGTGTCTCCTAAAAGTTGCTACCAACTGCTGCAATTACAGATGGAAACACCTCCTTACCCTATAGGAAAATGTTGTGTCTACTGTTGGCATGCAGCATCTCAAGACAAGAATTTGAAATGTTTGCTTTAGCTACTTGTAGTACAGCAGTTGGACTGGTCTGTCTACCAAAATGTTCTTCTCTTCCTGGAAAAAGTAGGCAGATACCCCTCCAGCTTGTTGCCTCTGTGGATGAGTTTTAAGGAGATGTCCTGTTGGTGCTTTTTAGAGGCTTTTGTGGAAATCGTGATACCTGTGGAAGGAGAGGAAGCAGAATATTGTATACTGAGTTGTGTTTGCTGAACTGTGGCCTCACACGATCAAAAACCCTTTCAAAAGTTGGTGTGACTTCTTAGGAGAAGAATACAGCATGGGATCTTTTCTGTTGAACCTTACGTGGTAGGAGGTTGTTCTGCTTTTAGAAGTTATATTACTGCTGTAATATGGGCGCTCAGGTGAGGGACCCAAAGACCCAATGTTGGAGAGGTGCGGCTCCAGCCGGGATGCTGCATGGTGGGGGAGCGCTGGTGCTCCCCCAGATCCCCAAACAGGCTGAGTCTTAAGAACTTAGTGCAAGACTCTTCTGCATTGAAACTGCTGCCTTATATCACTTGTTCAGTGAGGTGGTCCATCATTTGAAATGGACTTTGTATTTTGCAGGCATGGTGACTGCATAGCGGCTTGTGGGAAGTGTGGCCGTGGTGCATGCACATAAAATAGAGGAACAGTGCAGTTCAGCAAGTGTTTGCATCCAGCTGTGTACAGTAGCCTGCTGGCTGGGGTTGCTGCTCTTTCTAGCTGGTTGGGTTTTGTTGGGCTTTTTTGTTTGTTTGTTGGTTGGTTGTTTTTTGAAAGGTGTTACTTACAAAATGAATTCTTTCGGCACGTATTTCAGTATAAACCTTCCCATGTTTTCTTTTCACTTAAAATTTATTATAAGGCAAAGAAAGTGAAAATTTTAGACTTTGTTACAGGTTGGTTTGCAACATCAGTGTTTTTTATTAAGATCCCTTTGTTTCTTAAGAAACTGTGTAGTGTCTTCTAACTTCCAGGTTGCCCCAGAGCCTATTAGAGGATGTACAAACCACAACCTGTAAAATGCTTCTGTTTTCCTGTGTTTTGTACTTTTCCCATTCATGTTTTCAGACCAGCAGGAAAACACGGACTTTTGTGAAGCAGTGCACCACGTGAGGAGGGACTGAGACCTCATGCTGTAGTCCTTTTCCATCTTAAGTGTCCCGAGGACCTGCTGGGTGATACAGTACAGCTGATTTGGCTCTGCTCCTGCACTACTTCGCTATTCCAGGAAGTTTTACAGGAATGCTGATCTTATATAAAGCATATGGCTAATTATGAAGGAATCATTTCAGATTGGAATCTTGCAGAAGCATACTGTAATTATCATTTAGATCTAAATTAATCCAAGCAGTCTTTTCTCAAATTATAATGTTCTGTTTATGAGTGCATTTCCTCCATTTGGCGTTCAGCCCCAGTAATACAGCAATATTGTGTACAATGTGGAACAAATGACATCTCTTCTCTAAGAGAATGCCTGGCTCCCAACGTGGTAACTTTTAATGGAAAAGGAAAGGGATGATGAGAAAGCAGCGCTGACTAGATGCTAAAGCAATGTAACTCATGAGTTTTGAGAGATGGGGTTTTCTTCCAAACAGTTCTTTGTGGGTTTTGGTGATCCTTAGCTGTATTTTAACCTCTTTATGTATTTTAGAGTTTCCCAAGACCATAACTTGTGGCTTTTCAAATGCTTGCAGATCATTGAGTAAAAGATTACATTTACAGAAGATACTGACAAAGCATCTTAAAAGTGTGTCTGTTTAATTTTAGGACAAGGAAACCTGCATGGGTGTCAACAATCAAAGTTACATATGTGAAACGGGCCACTGTTGTGGACAATCCCAGTGTTGCAACTACTACTATGAACTCTGGTGTAAGTCCTTCTGTTTTGTATGGCTTCCCTTCCTAATCTGCATGGCTTTCATACCATACTACAGGTCTGCCTTGTGTCCCGTGGGATTTTGTATTCAGCCCTTGTTATGCCTTGCCATTGCATTTCACTGCAACATAAACCTGAGTTGACCTGATATGGCAAGGGAAATAGGACTTTTACAGTGGGCGTTGTCTGCTTTTTGAGGAGTAATGGGTTGTTTTGCCATGTTCCAGACTGGAGATTTGTTGTTTGGTCTTCTCACTGATTTGGGCAATACTGAGGGTACTCACAATAACATTGTATATGAGCAAGGAAACCATGCTTGAGGGAGAAATGTGGATATGCACAACACTAGTGACACACTCAAACAGAGAATTAATTAATTATCTTTCATCTTATTGTTTTAGTTCTTTGCAAGAACAACAGTTTAAATCTGATTTATCTTTTTAAAGCTGTCCTTTCAAGGAGCGGGGCCAGGACGTTTATTCTCTTCAGGACACATTGTGTTTGGAGCACAGCTCCTTGGGTGGAGACGGTCTCAGGCAAATCTTGTGGGCTGACAGTGGCTGAATACTGTGGGCTGCGAGGAACACACGTTGCCCACTGCAATCCCTCTTATCTCCTCTTTCCCGGAATCTGGGATTTAAAACTACCTGTGTTTCTAGTGAGTGGCTGAGTGACTATACGGGCTAAGGCTCCGCAGGCAGCAGCAGGCAGGTCAAAGCAGGTCAGCAAAACTCTGGTAAAGATAGATGGAAAAATGGGAAGTTGAAAGGATAGGAAGGTAAGAAATGCTGAATTTTTAAAGGCAAACTTTTAGAGTTGTTCCGGTCTGATGGTGTCTTCCTTTCTTGAGGAGGAGCGCAAAGAGTTGAACATTGATGTTGACATGCTGTTGTTCTGCCAGGAGCCTAGGCTGAGAAGGCATCTGTGCTCCCAGAATTTGGAAATGTGAAACTCTGAACATTGCAACCCCATGTTAGAGACTGGAGATCCTTTCTTACTGCACCCAATGGTATCTTACAAGATTTTATGCAACTGTGCTGTCTACTTAATCCCTCTGCTGTGCCCACAGTTTCACTTTCTCAAGGTAGTGTGTGTGTGGAAATGTATTATACATACAAGGCTGTCACTTAACCTGGATCCAAGGAATAGCTGACACTTCATCCTTTAGTCTGGAAACACGCTTTTAGTTTTCAAATTAACCAGTGAAGCGCGGAGGACATGGTTGTAAACTAAATAGGATTCTAATAGATTCCTTCAAGACACACTTGCATCAGACTGTAGTGGCTGGCTGTGTTGATACTAATGGCGGGATTTGAATGTATTGCAGACCTTTTAAAGCAGCTTTATTTTCAGAAGTCTCTGAACAGTTCAAGAAACAATTCAGGACTGGGGGAGGCAGCTCCAGGGACGCTAGCAGGCTGAGAAACAGGTATGAATACATGGGCACCTTGGACTACTTGGTTCAGATCGTAGCAGTCAGCAACACAGATGGCTGAAATTTGTTCAGACTATATAGAACTGCATGGACAAAGCAGAGTGGGGAAGGTCAGACCCGGTTTTAGGTTTGTGTGGGTGGGAATGTAGATGAAGATGCATGTATGCAAGGACTTACAGACTCTGTGGCAAGCAGGATCTAAACTGAGCAACAGCATGGAGTACAGCTGCGCGCTGGAGCTTGTTGCACGGTTGCCCTGTTTCTCGCATGGACATCTTGAAAGAGAGGCTTAATTGAATTGCATACAAACAATACAGTCCAAACAATAGCCCCCTGCCATTTTAATGGAATGATTTTACTTGAACTATCTTTGTGCTCTCAGTATGGCACAGACTTTTATACTTGGCAGTGCCTGGCTGCATCATAAAAGTTCTTGGAAGATAAAACCAGACTTTGTTAGAAGGAATCAGAACATTTCAGGCTTCTTTCTGGGGCGAGCACACAGGTTACGCTGAGATCACGGAATAAACATGTTAGTGGCACGCACTGCTGCATGGTTCCTCAGGAGGAATGAGTTTCTGCGTTGAGATTCACATTCCTTCTGCGTTGCAGAGAGCATTGTATACCACACTGAGATGAAGGGAATAATGCGAACATGAGATCTATTCTTCTAGGCTTTCTGAAAATTCAGGCAAACATCCAACATTGATTAAAAATCAGTTAATGTTTTCAAAGCTTGCTTTGCCATTATGACTGTTAGAAAAAAGTTTCTGGGATGGAAGGGGGAGGAGGCACAGGGGGAGCATGTCCTTTAAATGAAAACTCATATTCTAGAGCTTGCAACCACAGCTACAGAACTTAGCTGCCACTCCGGGAATCATTTAGTATCTTTGGTAGGTACCTGTGGTGAGGCACTCTTAAGACCTTCAAGGTGAATAGCAGTGATAGTATATGTAAATAGTCTTAATATGAGCAGGGAATTGGTGTGGAGAGCAACAGCTTTACATGCTTAGGAATAGATTAGCTTTTTAAAAGTTATTATTAACTTTTGGTTAATGAACAGTTAACTTAGCAACACCTTTTAAGTATGGCTTCATGGTTGTTCTGTGTTTTGATTTTTAACCAGTGCATGCATGTACTGAATTAACTTTTGAGAAGTTTCTGCTTCTCTTGACCTTCTCAGACCACCAGTGCTTTTGTATGCATGAAAACAGACCTTCATGCTAGTCCTGTTGAATTAAGTCTTGGATTTATTTACCGCCACAGCTTTGTGGGGAGAAGAAACAGAAGAGGGTGGCATTTGAAATGGAAAAGAAAACCAGTCTGTCTTTGCTGGACATGCCTTCTGAAATGTGATCCTGTCTTGTGGCTACCTGGAGTTTTTTCCGTAAAAAGGATCTTTTTTCCCCGTTTAAGAATTTGAGGGAAGTTTGTCTCTGAAAATGGCTGATCTCAACATTTCTAGACAGCAAGTAAGCTACAGTAATTATAAACTAGTCCTTGAGGATAGTGGAATAGGATGCAAAATCAAGGTATTATTTTGTTAAGGGGTGGAGTGGAGGAATAGAGAATGTGACATGCCAAGCAGGTGGACAGCCTGTGTTTAAAATTAGATAACAGCCCCGTTCAGATTCCCCACCCATCACATTTAAAAAAAAAAAAAAAAGTACCATGTTGCCAAATAATAAAAATATATCCAGATTTATATATATAGGTCTAATAGCTATATAGAGGTCTAATTAGTTGTTAGCTCAAGCATCGTAGCTGGTTAACATGGGGGAAAAAGTGCACTATGTCTTTTACTTGTCTTGGAATAGAATCATAAAAAGTAAAAGGGAAGAAGAGGCTTTACTATTGCATTTCTCTCACATAGGGAAGGGTATTTGTTTGCGTCGTGGTTGAGCTGGTTCAGCATTTTAGCCTAACAATTTTTTTGGGCTCCCTAGAGAACTCGCGGTCCTCAAGGGGGAGATTGTGGTCTTGGGAGAATGGCAACAGCCGCTGGATTTTGCTTGCTCACAGTTTTTATTCAGGTCTGTTATGATGTGATTGTGATTTGCTGGAGTTTTCCAGTGTTGGCCTTTGTCCAGGCCTGACAGGTGTCTTGTTGCTTAAATGTTCCAAAATACCATTTTTCAAAATACAGGAGAGAAGGTAATCATGGAATGCAGTTCCCACATTTAGCAAGTTAAGAATTAAGTCTCAGACATTCTGGATTTTTCCCAGGTTAAGTGTATAATGTGGACTAAAAAAAAAACCACCTAAATCCAGATCTCCTGACATCCGTCCTTCCGTCTCTCCTTGCCTGTTGAGGAACAGCTTGAAATTAGGCGGTTGCAGGGGCTCCAAACACAGCAAGCAAAGCTGTCAAAAGTATTTGGCATGGTGTGGTTGGAAGAATAGTACACTCTGCTTCAGGGAATCATGGAGCATGGAAACAGGCAGCTGGTCACTGCGTGCAGATCTCAGTTGTAGGATTTCAAAGTTAGAGGGCTTAGCTGGTCTTGGGTCGTTTAGGTGCTGTACAACAAACCAGCACTGGCCATGAATGAGTATTCAGATGTTGGATGTGCCTATTTTGCTTCATTTTGGCTGTCTCAGCAGTGATAGTGAGCCCCTCTGTTTCTGAAAAGAAAAAAAAAAAAGGAAAAAAAATGTTGACTGTTTGAGCCCTAGTGGAAGGGTTGTACAGGAAAAAATGTTCTGTTTGCAGGCAGCACAGTTGATGTTTTTGCTGATTTTGAACGTTTTGCTCATCTCTGCACGTTTCCCCTTGGAATCTCTAGACAGCTCTTTTCCCCAAAAAGTGTGCTGCCAGAAAATTTTGGCAAGGATCCGCTTAGTTGCTAAAACTAAAGCAACTGCTGTACCACGTACATGTTCCAGGTCAGCTTTATCATAGGAATCAATTTCCAAGACTTTGCTGCATTCTCCAAAACCCTCAGTCAAACAACACATCAGTCCTATATTTTATTCCTTATCCCGTGTTATCTTATCCTTCAGTAGAACCACATCCTCTTTCAGAGAGGGGTTTGCCCTGTTCCTTGACTTTCTCCCAGCCTCCTACATGGTTGTACTTGCTTTCTCTTTCCTAGGTGTATCAAACTTCACCTTTGGCTGCTGTTACCCGTTTAGCTGGTGCTCCAGCGATAACCCTCCTATGACAAAGCCTAGCTGAAAGTATAGGGCAAACAAAACAGATGTCACAACCAGGCAGAAACTGATGGTAAATAGCATTACTGAGAGAGTTATATCCTGATTTCCCTGTGTTTTTTGTAGCCTAATCCGGACAGCAAAATCATCTTAAGCTTGTTTTGGTGTGGCTGGGTAAAATTCACAAATGCAAAGGAGAAGGCAAGCTGTCTTGCATAGTCTGACTCTGCAGATACTGACTTTTGCCCCATGTGGCCTGCTTCCACCTGTTCTCTGTTAAACAGCAGGGAAAGCGAAGAGAGCTTCCTGATGCTGTTTCACCCTCTGCCTTCTGTACCTCCAACCCAGCTCCTCACCAAAGATCTGTTGGTGCAGACTGTTCTCCAGACCTTGTTCCCAGATATTC